CAAAACCCCATCTTTTCACTTATCACCATAAGATTCTATGCTGTTCACTCTTGCATTTCTGCATACCTGGCTACTTTTCACATTATTAATCAAATTTCCTACACTTAAACCAACTTAGTTCATTAGAGGATCCCATTTAATTATTAAGAAACCACTGATTTTTCTCCTTTCAGAAACTAAGAAATTCAAGATCTCAACCCCATGGATTCTCAGATTTTGGTGAATTATTTCAGGAGTGGAGGCATGACTGGTACCAATGAGAATTTAGAAAGCTGCGATGTCTTACCCTGACTTATGAATAAACCTTTAGCGAGACTTTGTTTTCTCCTGGGAGTCTCGGGAGCACATCCATGGAGACTAATGTCCCAGAGGAAGCTAGGAAAGTGCCCCACTAACAAATCATTATTTTGAGAGAAGAAACCTTGACCTAGTGTGACCTGATCTATTAATCACTTTCAAAACAATTCTCTTAAACACTGAAGCAATCTTGCCATTTCTTGAAAACTTTATGAATAGAATTCAGCAATGCATGACAGCACTTACCTTAAATTCTAGAAAGAGAGATGCATTTTCCTAATGCAAAAAAGAAGGAACTTCTCTGTTGCAATTCTGTGGCCTTATAAGAGTCTCCTTTTCTTTCAGTCCACGTGTGGACAAGCATGCACCTCAGGACCAGAAGTGTTTCCTTGGGAATCATTAGTGCTTGTGAATATTTCTTTGCTACAGAGAAGCAAAGAGCACTGTTTGGGGTGAAGTTTTGCTTTTCTCTAGAATGAAAAGCTACGGATAGCCTTGCTGCCTTGAAGCCTTCAAATGAATTCCAATAAATGAATCTCAGTCTCATACAGAAAAGTCATAACCCTGACTTGGACCAGCAAACAGTCTTAATTTACTGCATTTTACCCAGAACCATAAATCCTTGGAATGAATTTCAGACTGGCTATCTTTATTTGCATCTCAGTATTGCACAGTCCCCCAAGTAGTGATTCTTTTTGTTTGTTTGTTTATGTATTTATTTTTGAGAGAGAGGTGGGGAGCAGAGAGAAAGGGAGACAGAGAATCCCAAGCAAGCTCCATGCTGTCAGCACCGAGCTTGATGCAGGGCTTGAACTCACCAACGGTGAGATCATGACCTGAGCCAAAATCAAGAGTCAGACACTTAACTGACTGAGCCCCACTCCAAGTAGTGATTCTTGATGCATTTGCCTTTGTGGAACTGATAGTGTATAATCCAGGTTCCTCTGCTGGAAGGTCACACACTACTGGGCATCTTCACATTGACTACATGATCAAAGTCGAAAAATTCAAGAAATTGCCCCCTGTCAAAAGTTAAAAAGACAAAATGAATAATCAAACAAACAAACGATGAGGCTTGGGACACATTGCCCTTAGCCCAAATCAAGAAAAGATACATGTTAATAATATTTTTGTACTTTTGGGGGCACCTGGGTGGCTCAGTCGGTTAAGCATCTGACTTCAGCTCAGGTCGTGATCTCAAGGTTTGTGGGTTTGAGCCCCACATCGGTTCTGTGCTGACACATCAGACCCTGGAGTCTGCTTTGGATTCTGTGTCTCCCTCTCTCTTTCTCTGCCTGTCCCCTGCTCATGCTCTGTCTCTCTCTTCCAAAATAACTAAACATTAAAAAAAATTTTTTTAATATTTTTGTACTTTTTTTTCTTTTGAGACTATGAAAAGTTTAAGAAAAATGAAGGATGCTTGATTGCAACAACATAGCTCAGAAAAAAATGATTCAACTGTGCCTCAAACCCTTGAGCATTAAGTGGGTTAAGAAAGCTCTCTGTGCTCGGGGCCAGTCTGGAGATCTGGGAGAATAATCAGAATGCAGTAAGAAACTCACATCCCTGATTAGGGATAGACGGAAGAGCAGAAAGGTTTACATGCAGCAAAATTTACATAAAAGCTGGAAGCCGAAGCGGACTTGGAGACAAATGATTTAGCCAATAGTCCTTGTTATGTGTCTAGCCTTTGAAATAGAGCAGTAGCATTTCATAAACATACGCATGTATCAGTCTATGTAAACTCATAGGTACCTGGGGATACAATGTCAACAAACTATCCATTTATATAATCCTCCAGAAAATATCTCTTGAGGGCTTATTTTATGACAAGCCCATACTTAAGCCCTACAGATATTATTGCTTGCCCTTACGACCTTAAAGTTTATGGAGGAAGCCAAACAAACTATAAATAAAATTTTGTAAGCGTTCAGATATGGAAATGTCCAGGGGGTCACGGAGGGTAGGCGTAGCACTGGAACTAGATTGGAGATGGGAAGTCAGGGAAGGCTTCCCATGACATGGGTCCTTAGCTGAGGTCTAGACTTCAGATAGGACTTAGCCAAATGCTGGAAGAGATTGGGGGAGGGTATTCTAGGCCAAGCGAACAGCACACAGTGATTAGGTGATGAGAGAGCTGATGACACCTTCAGGGAACCAGAGCAGGGCTCAGCAAACTGTTGCTGTAAAGGGCCTGATTCTGAGTAGTTTAGGCTTTGGGGGCCCTATAGTCTCTGCTGCAACTATTCAACTCTGCCATTGCAGCACCAACGAATTAGTGTAGTTCCAGTGAGATCTTATGTACAAATAGTTAGCCAAACTCTAAACTTGGGTAAGTCAATAAGCACAGAGCATAGAATGGGGAAAGAAAAGGGAAAACGGCAGATCAGTCTGGAAGATTGGGTAGGGTAAGACCAGATCATCAACGGCCTTGAATGTCACACCAAGGATTTTGGGTGCTACCCTCAAAGTTCTGAGAAATGCCCTACCTGTTAGCTTATCAGAAGTGCCTGAACAGGCCTGACTCCCAGCTTCAGCTCAAGCTAGATTCTATGCTTTAGTTCTATTTCACAAACTTCGGGCCTTGTCTGGAATGCATTCTTCCTCCCTGTCCCACTCTCTTTGCCTATAGAACTCCTTTAGACTCGGCTGAGGCACCTCCTTCTCTGGAAAAACCTTCCCTAACGTCTGCCAGGCTGGGTAAGGGGTCTCTGCTGGCTGTTCCTAAAACACCCTGCACACAACTCCACAGGATCACTCCCCGCACTATATTGTAATTATTATACATGGTCTCTCTCTCTCCCTATCTAAATGATAAACGCCTTAATCCTCTAGTAGGACTTGGAACATAAGAAGCTCTCAACAAATGCCTATGGTATTTATAGGTCTAATTCTCCAAATTGTGGAATGTTTAGCGCTTAGAAAATTTGTGTTAACCGGGAGAGAATGCCATTCCCCTCTGAGTGCAAAATGAAGATAAATCTATATCTACCCTATTTGGAGGGGCCAGGCTCATGGCCCGTTATACTGGCCATTAGTACACATTCAAATGCTTCTCCGTCTCTTACAGCCTTCATGGGAAATAACCGAAGCTTGTGACATTATAGGCAAAAAAAATAATCCTTTCCTGGTCTAGCAAAGAGGTGGGAGGAAATGGGAGTATTTTTCTCCCTTAGGCTCTCAGAGAATTCTTGTTCTCTAATATGGAGACAGAATTAATCCTCATATCAATGAACTGTGAGCTGCTTCTCTCAGGCTAAGTTTCTCATACTTTGAAAATGGGGCAATTCATTTCATAGCAATGTACCTTACCCATCGCAAAAAAGAACCATGTAGAAGAATATCCTCAATAAGATAGGAAGTAGTTTTACTGTTTTCTAGTGAATTTTAATAGAACAGGAAGAAAAAATTCTCAGCTTATAAATTTTCACATGCAAATAGGAATGCTTCGGTTAGTATGGACAGATACTTAGTCATAAAGGAAGGTTTTGGTAGGAATGTACTTGCCAGGATCCAGTTTGTTATCCTAAGCATTTGCTAGCCTTTTTACTTTTTTAGGTTCGTGTTTAGGTTTGTGGGTATGTGTGTGTGTGTGTGTGTGTGTATCTTTATCCAGTGTACATTTATTAGGTACTTCTGCATATTAGGCCCTAATTCAGCTCATCTTGGCATTTTGAATTAAAGTTTAGTGCATTTTCCTACTTGTTAAGCAGTTCTCTTCATTTAGTTTGAATATTTTTTTAGTCTCCTTTGTTACAAGTCTGAACTAGAATTTGGAAGTGGATTCTTGAGAAAAACATCTGTTCTATTATCTAAGTTGTATTTCACCACTAATATATAACAGCAAGGATTTTTAGTTGTATAAATACGCACACAGAGACATGGGGGGAGTTGCAAAATCAGCTTTCTTAAACATATTTGTAATATAAATGGATAATTTCTTTTCAAATATAATAGGAAAGTGTGGATTCACTTCTTATGAACCCACAGCTCAGTTTATGCAGACATACCGTTATGTATACTTTTTTTTTTAATTTTTTAATGTTTATTTATTTTTGGCACAAAGAGAGAGACAGAGCATGAGTGGGGGAGGGGCAGAGAGAGAGGGAGACACACAATCTAAAGCAGGCTCCAGGCCCCGAACTGTCAGCACAGAGCCCGACGCGAGGCTCGAACCCACAGACTGAGAGATCATGACCTGAGCCGAAGTCAGACGCTCAACAGACTGAGCCACCCAGGTGCCCCTCATTATGTATACTTTAAATAATAATTTGGGGTGTTCTATGTAAGTGATGAATCACTAAGTTCTAGTCCTGAAACCATTATTATGCTGTAAATTCACTAAATTGGATTTAAATAGAATAAAAAATAACAATAATATGGATTATTGACAGCTAAAGCACATTGCAACGGTTATTCTCATAGCTATACATGGATGGAAAACTACTTTTCCATTCATCAAGTATACTAAGTACTTTCAAAGTCCATTAGGTGCTGGTTTAGTCGACCAAAGGATAAGCCAAATCATGAGTAAGGAAGGAGGGCTTAGGGTGTATATGTGTATGTGAAGGAGGGGGAGTGTCCTGAAGGATCTTAAATGGAATCAGAATCTTCCTTTTCTTTCTTTTTCTTTGTTTTGTCCAAATTAGTATGAGATTCTAAAGAGCCACTTTCTTGCCTGTCTTTCTAGAGAATCAAGGGACATGAGAAATGGCACGACCATCACAGAGTTCATCCTTCTAGGCTTTCCTGATACCCAAGGACTACAAATCCCTCTCTTTCTTGTGATCTTTTGCGGCTACATGTTAACCCTTGCAGGCAATGGGTTCAAAATCGCCATTGTCTGGGCTGAGCCCAGGCTACAAATACCAATGTACTTCTTCCTTTGCACCTTGTCCTTCCTAGAGATCTGCTATCTGCATCCCCTGCTGCCTTCTTCCACTTTTTCCCGGGAACCACCGAGTTCTTTATCTTCATTGTCATGTCTTTTGACCATTACCCGGCCATCTGCAAGCCCCTTCGCTACCCCACCATTATGACCAGCAACCTCTGACTGCAACTTGCCCTCAGCTCCTGGGTGGTAGGCTTTACCACCGTCTTTTGTCAGATGCTACCGCTCATCCGGTTGCCATTCTGTGGCAACAATGTCATCAATCATTTCTACTGTGATGTTGGTCCCATTTTGAAAATTTTTTTTTTCAACGTTTATTTTATTTTTGGGACAGAGAGAGACAGAGCATGAATGGGGGAGGGGCAGAGAGAGAGGGAGACACAGAATCGGAAACAGGCTCCAGGCTCTGAGCCATCAGCCCAGAGCCCGATGCGGGGCTCGAACTCACGGACCGTGAGATCGTGACCTGAGCTGAAGTCGGACGCTCAACCGACTGCGCCACCCAGGCGCCCCGTGTTGGTCCCATTTTGAAAGCAGCCTGCACAGACACAAGCATTTTGGAGCTCCTGGGTCTTTTGGCGACCATCCAGGTGATCCCAGGGTCACTCCTCTTCACAGCGATTTCTTATATCTGTATCTTGTCCACCATCCTACAGATCCCTTCAGTCACTGGCCAACAGAAGATTTTCTCGACCTGTGCCTCCCACCTGACAGCAGTCTCCCTGCTCTATGGTGCCGTTTTGTTCATGTACCTGAGACCCACAGCACACTCTTCCTTTAAGATTAATAAGGTGGTGTCAGTGCTAAATACTATCCTGACACCCCTTCTGAATCCCTTCATTTGTACAATTAGAAACAAGGAGGTGAAAGCAGCCCTAAGGAAGGCAATGGCTTGTCCAAAGACTCATCATCCAGAGGAAAACATGCGACACATCAAATGAACTTAAGGCAGATACAGAAGTTAAATGTGAAAGAGGACTGTGGAGAAGATGAGGATGTGAAAGCAAACTATGATGGTAACCTTCCGTATAAGGATTTGTTCCCTATAAATGAGCCACGAGTCCTCCTTCAAAAGAAGGGACCGAATTCTCCAACAAGGAAATCCCAGAATACCTTCTGATGCATGAAGTACCACTAAGGACTTTCTCAGTTATAAGCTGAAAGTAGAAACCACAGAAGTCAAGGACAAGTGTCAGTAACTTTTTAAAAAAAATGTAAGGAATCCCGTCCCCCTCTTTGTTTACAGTAACTCCCTTCGCCTCATCTCCTTGTCAAAGGCACGAAGCATCCTGAACATGTTCTCAGTACTTATTTTCTTCACAGTAGAAGTCTCACGTCGTCTCCTAGTCAATTGCAATGGTCTTTCAAAAATGTTTCAAATAAACCACGGTTTTGTTTGATAATGTCTCAAAAAGGGGACTTTCATCTTGATATAATACAAATGTTTACATACACCTAAGGGTGTTTATTCCTAGACAATACCAAAACTTGAGGGCATTATATGAAAATTTCACACTGGATTAGGTCAGTTCCTATGCTTCAGTAGGGGTAGGCCGAGTGCCTAGGAAACCAAAAGAAGTCTGAGAGACAATATACTCTGAAGGCTTTCCTGCTGGAAAATTCAGCCCCAAGGTTACATTAAATACAGAGTTTGCATGTGAGGTTTTCACATAAAGTCCTCAAGGTAAATGATACACCTATAATTGTTTTAACCATTTTCTTGGGCAAGACATTTGACAGAAAAGTTTTTTATAGAATGACGACGCAGGTAAGTCACAGTTCATAATAATGAGTGTTACAGATGCTTCTCTTCCGACAGCAAAGAAAGACTATCATTAAAAGCCCATTAAAGTGTGATTTTTAAAACAAGGATTATTGCACATTCCTTTTAGTACTGAATTGAAAATTGCAAAGCAAAATAAAGTGTAATGAGGTGAAAATGCTATTATCTCAACTGCCTGATCTGATTTTATCTTACAGAGGAGCTGTCTTGGGGCTGGGCAGGTGAAATTGGTCATTTGAAGGCAAAGAGAGAGATCCTAAGGATGAATATTATCAAGAGCCCTATCATCAAAAGAATGGTTTAAATTGCCCTGAGTGAGAAAATCCGGGTAATAACTAAGTGCTCCTCAGAGAGGAAAATGGCACAGAAAGTAAAGAGAGGAGAAATGAGCCAGAAAGATGAATGCAGCTGAAAAGTCTGTGGGAAGAAGCCAGTGGAAATTCTACACAGTTGAGGAGCCCACAGAACATTTTAAAGATGGAGATGCTTATACTCAATCTGAGGTCACATTTCTATGCTGTTAAACTGTTTTCCCCTTCAACCTTCAGTAAAGTCTTCTACGTTAGCTAATGTATTATAAAACAGGATGTGTATGTCACACACACTGGTGTATGGGTGTGTTGTATGTGTAAGGAAGAATTGAGTTTCTTGTCTGGAATGATGTGGTTTGAATTACAGACAGCCCATAGACAAGCTCACAGCAATGGCCCCAGAATATGTAGAAATTTCAGGAAGAACTTCAGACTTTCATTGGCTTGGGTATGGCTCTAGGTAACCTAGATCTAGGGGAACTGAGACACAGGGCTCATGTTATTACTTTAAAACCTGTTTAAAAAACTGCTTTTAAGTTGCACAAATATTAGTTTTCCTGGGTCTGGCCTATTGCTTTAAGAGTTACCTGCGTGACGGCCAGACAGAGGGTAACATAAAACACCTTGACAGATATTTTTTTAAAAAAATTTTTTAGCGTTTATTTATGAGAGAGTTAGAGACAGGGCGTGAGTGGGGGAGGGGCAGAGAGAGAGGGAGACACAGAATCTGAAATAGGCTCCAGGCTCTGAGCTGTCAGCACAGACCCTGACTCGGGGCTTGAACCCACGAACGGTGAGATCATGACCCGAGCCAAAATCCAGAGTCTAACCGACTGAGCCACCCAGGCTCCCCAAAACCCAGATTCCTTTTTTAAAAAATGTTTTTAATATTTATTTATTCTTGAGAGAGAGAGACAACACAAACAGGGCAGGGGCAGAGCAAGAGGGAGACACAGAATCTGAAGCAGGCTCCAGGCTCTGAGCTGTCAGCACAGAGCCCCATGTGGGGCTTGAACTCAGTTTATGACCTGAGCCGAAGTCGGAGGCTTAATGGACTGAGCCATCCAGGTGCCCCTAGACAGATCCTATAAAGGAGACAAGAACAAGTGTGAGAGTGCCACCTGGCTCCAATTCAGGAAATGCAAAATAGACACCATTTATTCACGCATGATTATCACGTTCTATGGATGTATTGGTATCATGTACTAAGCGATGTGCCAGGTACTGATTCTGTTGAAAAAAACCATTTTTTGTAGTCTGCCAGAAAATCAGTTCTAGGAATTGGAAATACCAAGTGTTGGAGAAGCCTATCCAACAAAGAAGCTCCAACAACCTGAACATCAAGAATGAAATGAGCTACGAGACTTCTAGGCAGCCCTGTCTTAGATCTTCACCAACATGGTCCCACCAAAGCCCCCAAGGAGTGTGTTGTGTACGTCCATTGCCTGCAGCAGCTGGAGTGTTGTTCTGAGGAAAAGGAGCCACGGCCGCAAAGACAACATGCCAGAGCTTGACCTTCACATTGTCCCTTGTTTCTTACGGCTCTAGAGCCCAAATCTCTTCCCCAAATATACATACCCCAGCTTTCTCCAACAGAATAAGAAATTACACAAGAATTCATCCAAACAATATCATAAACAACCTCTTACTCAGATCCCTGGGTATTAATTATTTTTCTACTACTGGTAACTCTAATGACAAGGTTGAGCTCATGCATACATCTGAGCCAAATCCTTGACAATGAGCCCTTGAGTTCATGTGTTCCCGAAAACGTACACACTTAACTTAAGCAGTTGTTTCCATGATGTGTTCCATAATACATTAGTTATTAAAAGTAGGGCTCAAGTATTCAAACTGGGGGAGATACAGAGTTAGACAAGGTTGAGCAGTTTCCTTCACTACTCAATTTCTCAGAATTTTTAACACTATGTTGAAAAAAAAATTCTAACTCTCAAGCTTATGCATATAAAACTGACTGTTAGATCATCTCGGTTTTACTAAAAACTGTGCCCACTGTTTACTGATGTAAACCAGAGCAATGACCACTTTAAAAGGAGACTTTACAATCCTCTCCTTAACCAATCAAACGGTGGCCTCACGATCCTGCTTTATCTGGGCAAAACTTCCGTTCCTTACCCAATGTAGCTGTTCCCTTTTAACTCAGAAAGACCAAAGTCACTTTTGAGCAATACAGCTCTCCCTTACCTGTCAAGTAATAAATTCAGCCTTACTTTTCCAGTTCTAACGATTTTCACATGCAGTAGAAACCCCCACGAGGAAGATAGGCCTTTCCAAAGCTTACCCAGCTACAGACCACTTTTTTTCGATGTGCCTTAGACGAAAGATTTCCCACTTTGTCTCTTAAAGTGTGTCTAAAGTCATTTATGTTTTTATCAGGCTGTTATAATTCCATTACATTCGTAAGTGACCAACCTACTTAGACGTAAAACTTTAAAACTCCCATACAAGAAAAGCTGAAGTACAATAACACAAAGAATTGGAGACAATCATGTATTTACCTAACTATCTAGTTCCTGACTAAGGCTCACCACCGCTTTAAACCATATTCTCCTTGCAAGTTTAAATGACTCCAATTATAAAAGTCCCATTTACACATAACCCTTCCAGAACTATCCAATTTCTGTACCTGGTATTCAGCTAGTCTTGGCCCGAACAATTCAAAGAGTAGAGCTACGCACACTCTCAGATGAGCCCACTCTACTAACTACTCCTACCATTTCTTTGATTTTTGGAAAATGGTCTCTCTCTTCCAAGTGCAGAAACAACCATTTTCCTAAGAATTAGTTCTTTACTCTTCATCAGATATTGTTTAAAAAAAAAAAGAAAAAGAAAAGAAATAATAACCGAATGCCCCCATCTCCACATTATGGCTTTAGTCCAAGCACTTGACCTATAATAATAACTCTGTAAATCACCTTTCCACATCCAGTCTTGGACCCCTTCATTCTCACCAGAGGCCGAAAGGATTTTATAAAAATGTATATCTAATCATGTCACTTAATTAAAATCCTTCAGTGGCTTCCCATTAACTATAGCAGATAATGCTTACTTTAGTCCATAAGACTAAATATATAAGAGACAATATACTATGAAGGCTTTCTTGCTGGAAAATTCAGCCCCAAGTTTACATTAAATACAGAGTTTGCATGTGAGGTTTTCACATAAGGCGAATGACCTTTGGTCCATCAGATCTGATCCCTGTTCACAACATCAGGTCCATCTTACACATTTCTCTATTGTTCTCTGGCCCTAGACACACTATCTTTCTTTCAATTTCTCCAATACCCCAAGCGCTTTCCCACCTCGGGACCCTTGCATACACACTATTTCCCATTACTTCAAACATTCTTTCTTGCTCGTCCCACTTCTCACTCCCATCCCCAATCTCAGCCTGCCCACTCATCCTTCAGAATTCTGCTCAAACGTTACTACTCAAGAAGGCCTCCCCTGACTGCTTCTCTACCAGCACCACCATCAGGATTAGGACCTCCAGTTACAAGCTCTCATAACATGCCGTACCTCTCCTTTGTAGAAAGTCTCACAATCATAAGTAAGTTATTTAAAACTCTGTTTCTTTCCTCCCAAACACACATACCACATGAAAGTTAGCTCCGTGAAGACAGATATTACAACATTTTTGTTGCCAATTATATTCCATACACCTATCACAGTGCCCTGCAATCGTAATTCCTCACTAAATAAGTCACTGATGAAGGAAGGACCAGACTGAACAATTTGAGCCGCGCGTCAGGCTCTGTGCTGACAGCTCAGAGCCTGGAGCGTATATGAAATGATTAGTATCAAGAATACGTAACATCTAACGATA